CCCCGGCACGTGACTCGGGAGCCCGGCCGTCACGTGACGCGGGGTCCGCGGCGGGGCGGCGATGGGGTCCTGGGGGGCGCCCTGCCCTGCCCGCGTGTCCCCCGGGACCCAGGCTGCAGCCAGCGGCGTCCTCCCGGAAGCCTGCCTGGGTTGCAGGAGGCAAAACAAAATCCACAACTCTGTCTTCCTCGCTCGCTGCAGGGGATTGAGAGGAGCCAAGGGCTATCGATTGCAAAGGGCCCCAGGCAGCCCGACTGGGGAGACCTGGACTTTGTCTGGCTTCGGGCGAGGGAGCTCGTGCTTAGGAGCCTCAGTTTCTCCTATGTAACTTTTTAAAAATTTTACACACGGTAATAGCGGGGATTGAAGCTAGGGCCTTTGCACGGAGCTACATCCAGTCTTGTTTACTTTTGATTTTGAGATAGGGTCCCGCTAAATTGCCAACTGCTCGAGCTGGGCTCCAACTTGCAGTCCTCCAGTCTGCTTCCTAGAGTGCAGGGATTACAGGCACGAGTCACCACCCCCAGGTCATAAATAGAGGTTTTAACTGCTCGGTGCCCCACTCCCTGTCCGGTCTCCCACTCCCTTCACTGAGTCCTGTAAGAATGAAAAGAAGTGAATGTGAAAGGCTTTGAAAAGGGGAAACCACTATGCAAATGTGCGACCCAGACGGAGAACCTTTTTGTTTCAGAGTTTTTCAAGAATGATTTCTCTTAAGCACCTTGAACTCCTCAGGCTGCAAAAGTTTTGTGTGTGCGTTTACCATTCTCTTCGGAAGGCTCCAGAATGCACCCTCTTGAGTCCCTGCTTCCTACCACTGCTGCTGACCGCCTGAGCGGAGTCCTGGGATTCTGTGCCTCAGATCTAGAAGCCTTGGGCGCTGCCTGGAGCGGCAGCGTTCCTGTTCCCAGGAAGGGCGGGCATTGGCAATGTCTGTTTTTCACACTTCTTGCCTTTCCCGCAGCCAGGGTTTCTGCTTCAGTGTTGTCACGTTTGCTTACTCACAGGCGCGAAGACAGCAGTGGTTAAGAAAGAGAAAGGGTCCCAGGACTATGGGAGGCTGAGGCAGGAGGATCAAGAGTTCAAGGCCAGCCTAGGTAACTTATCCAAACTCCGTCAAGTCTTAAAAATGAAAAAAAAAGTGAAGGCCCTGGATTCAATCCACAGTACAAGAAAGAAAAGAAAGGGGAGGAGAGGGAAGGGGAAACAGGCCTCATCTGCTACCGACTGTGGCCCTGGCCAAGTTAACTGGATGTTAAGGCACTTAACACAGTCCTTGGCACAGGGCAAGACCAGCAGAAGTATCAGCTGATGGGGGCTCCTGGTTCTGCAGTGAGGAGCTGCAGAAACTGAACTGTGGGTTCCAGAAATTCAATATTCAAGCCTGTTCACACTGTTCGAAAGTGTTTCGAGTCAGAGGTGGTGGCGCACGCCTGTAATCCCAGCCCTTAGGAGGCTGAGACAGGAAGATAATTGCAAGTTCGAAACCAGCCTGGGCTCCAAGCTCAAGGCCATCCTGAACTACATAGTGAGACCCTGCCTCAAAAAGACAAAAAAGAAAAAACAACAACAACAAAAAACAAAAAACCGTGTACCAGTAGGCTGGGGTGTAGCTTAGTCCTACAGGGCTTGCTAAGACATTGAGAAAGCCTGGGCTTGAGCTACAGCACTGCTTTAAGGAGAAAAAAAAAAAAGAATGCAAACTTGAGTCCCAAAGTTGTAGAATTTGCTTGTCAAAATTCACCTAGAATAAAGTTTGTAAACCCATGGCAGCTGTTTTTTTTTTTTTTTCCCCTAGCTCAAAAAGCTTTTGTTCTCAGGCGTAGTGGCACAAGCCTGTGATCCCAGTGCTCAGGAGGCTGAGGCAGGAGGATCACCATGAGTTTGAAGCAGCTGGGCTATATGTGGAGTTCAAGGCCAGCCTGAACTACATAAGTGAGACCCTTTTCTTTTAACCATCTTTAAAAAAAAAAAAGCTTTAGCAGTTCCTAAGCAAATGTGAGACTGTAAATGTGGGTAGAAAAATGATCCCAAGGAAAAACAGGGTGACCCCTATGCAGGGAGATAGGGCGGGAAGTGATGGCTGCTGTTGAGCTGGAGGGGAGGGAGGGAAGGAGCTGGGTGGCTTTGGGGAAAGTGGGTGTGGATTTGGAGTCGTGACCGTCCAGGCTGCTGGAGTGAAGTGAAGGTGAAACAGAGTTGAGTCTCAATTGCCACTGGGAAAGTTTTGGTTTGGTTTTCTGACACCTGGGATCAAACCCAGGCCCTCCTGTGTGCTGGCTAAGAGCTCTGCCCTGGAGCTACAGCCCCAGCGCCTGTCAGTTTGTGAGAACGGCTAGCTCTGTGGTCCTATAGCTGCAGGACAGCCGGGAGCCAGGACAGCGCTCTGGCTCTAGGGTCGAAGATGGGAGAGGGGTGGCCCTGGGTCTCCAGGGTACCAGTGTGTGACACTGACATTGTGATAAGTAATGTCCCCTACCTGTAAAATGGGAAAGGTGGTGTTGAGGACACTGAAGTATACAAGCTCTCCCTTTGAGAAAGGAAATTCTGAAATCAAAACTGTGAGTCTACCCAGGCGTGGTAGCACATGCTTTAATCACAGCACTAAGGAGGCTGAAGCAGGAAGATGACCAGGAATTTGAGGCCGGCCTGAGCTACATGTAGTGAATTCAAGATCAGCCTGAACTACACAGTGAGATCCTGTCTCCAACAACAGCAAAACAAAACAGAACAAAACCTGTGAGTCTCCCATATAAAATTTTAGAATTACCAACAAATCACTTGTGTCTCTTATATTTTTGTTTATTCAAGCACTGTGATGTGAAATATTTTGGTCTGTGTTTTAAAAATGCACAAGCTTTTGGATGGAACAGAGATTTAGTTTAGATGGTAAATCAAAATGAAAGAAATACGTCAAGCAAACCCAAACAGCCAAGCTCAAATTCTACCTTTCCTTTTATCTTTTGAGGTGCTGGGGGTGGAACTCAGGGGCTTGACATGCTAGGCAAGCACTCTGCCACTGAGCTATACACACCAAGACCTTTTGCCTTTTTAAAATAATTTTTTGGCTGGGCATGGTGGTGCACTCCTGTAACCTCAGCACGCGGGAGGCTGAGGCAGGAGGATCATTGCGAGTTCAAGACCAGCCTGGGCTACAAAGCGAACTCAAGGCCAGCCTGAATTGCATAGCGAGACCTTGTCTCAAAAAGACAAAAAAAAAATAATAAAATAAAATAATTTTTTGTGGTACTGAAGGATTAAACACAGGGGCCTTCATGCTAAAGTACATTTTAAGACAGAATCTCAATAAGTTGCTCAGGCTGCGCTAAACCTTGCAATTCTTCTGCCTCAGCCTCCCGAAGTGTTGGCCTGCCTTTTTAAAATAATGGTAGATTCTTTTGTGGTGTTTTCTTCCCACTAAATGGAAAGAGATAAAGACTCTCTTATTGTCAAACCAGTTTAGGACAGAGCTGGATTTCGCCTGAGTCTAATTGGTGAGCTTTTATACCTATATGGACAGCAAAGTTTGTAAAACCTAAATATCTTGAAAAGATATACAACCTGAGTCACAAGGTGACTGGTCACAGTTTGTGCTTATTGTTAGTTATCAGACATAGCAAACCTTAAAATTAATTTTTGCACTGGTAAATACTTTCTGCCAGGAGTTAAGCAGGCTTTGTTCACCTAATACTGTATACCTAAGTGCTTAGAAGTGGCTATGGTAGTGCAATCCCAGAACTCAGGAGGCTGAGGCAGGAGGGTTGCTGTGAACTAGAAGCCAGCCTGAAAAGACTTTGTCTGAAAAACCCATATATATCTGGGTGTCAAGTCATCCATGACTTTTGCATTGCTAAGTCCACTGGCCCATAATCTTAGGTGACCTGTCAGCAGTCACAGCTGGTCACTTCCTTCTCTAGAAATGTTCTCTTCACCTGCCTTTCAGGATACTGTACTCCTTTGGTTTTTCTCCTGGCTCACGAACTGTCAGGTCTTTGTTGGTTCCAACCTCCCAGGGTTCAGTCCTTCAGCACCTGCCTCTTACACCAAGATATCAGTGCCACTGCTAGACATTCTTGTCTTAGCTTCAGCCTGTGCGTCCCCTGGAGAAACTTGGAGCCCCAAGATCATATTGGCTGTTCTGCCTGCAGGAACTAAATCCTGTACATACCCCTCCACCTTAGTGCAGTTCACAGTATTTTTTTTCCCCAGTACTCAGGTTTGAACTCAGAGTTCAAACTGAGCCACATCCCCAGCTCTTTTTTGTTGTTTTTTATTTTAAAACATGCCAGGCATGGTGG